GAGCTCAAAATGAGGTCATGCCTGAAAACTCTATCAAAAGATGCACGAGCCATGTCCCAGGATTTCCAAGGTTTTATGCCACACCCCCATTAACCAACAAGGTCTATACCCTCTTTGGAACCTCCAAAGCCACTTCTCATGCTATGATGCCCAGATACAGATATGGACACAAACATGAAAACAGGAAATGTGGATATGACTCTATCTTCTACTGTCCTACAATTCTGGACAAAAATATAGGTATGGGTATCCCATATTATATGTTTATATCACGCTTTTGGATCTAGATTTTAAAGCTAAATGTCATTTTTCAAGACTTATGCCTTTTCATATTTAGCTAAATTTGGTGGGAGCCTCATGCACTGAGCTGTCCTTTTTCCTAACATCTTTGGATCTTTTTATAGTATAATTTGTTAAAACAAACCATTTAACATATTTTATAAGTGTCAATGCCATAAAGTACATCTAGATGTATCCATGCAGCATCTGGTATCTCATCTGACATCAGATTGCTAAACATGCATTGTATTCCGAGTATCATAGTCACATGTAAGGAAATCCTTTTGTCTTTTATTTACCCATTCTCAGCATTTCATCTTCCTTTCCAGGTAACTTTTCATATTTTTTTCCAAGGTAAATGGTATGTCAGTCAACTAGATGATTGTTGTCTCCAGAGTGCACCAAAAAGTCCTAATTATTTTCTCAATTTTTGTCATCACTTTCATAGGCACATTAAAGGTGAAGGAAAAAAATATATACCAGCAGGTTGTTGATGCATATACCATCTGAACGACCCACCCCATATTTTCCAAGAAAGACTTAAGTTTGTAATATTGAATATTTTAAATAATGCATCACACTTGTTTTGTTTGGGTGTAGGTGGAAACCCTTGCCAAATGTACAAAGCTTGTTTGCTTGTACTTTTTTCAGTTGGCCTAAGAAACAGGAAAGAATCTTATGGTGGTAAACAAGAGCTGCGGCTTGATGGATAATGGAAGATGTGAATTTTTCAGGGAAGGAGAGAAGCAGAGAAGCCTTACTTGAAACTATTACCATCAGGATGATCCATTGGGTGAAATCCCTGCTTTTTGAGGATAAATCTGCTGATGACCTGCATAGAAAGTGGAAGGAAGTGGCTGATCCAGCCTCTTATGCTGCTGTTATCAGGTATTCTTGGTCCCCGCCAATTGGTGGATTCATCAATTGGAACTTTGGTGGTAGTAGTGAAGAAAACACTGGTCCCTCAGGCATTGGAGGGTTTTTAAGGAATGATGAAGGAAGAATACATGCTTTCTTTTCAGGTCCAATCGATGTTGGTGATTCTTTAAGGGCTGAAACCTTGGCTGTAATGATCTAATGGAATGTGTTCTAATGACCAAGGATTTTTTTTTTATCAAAAACAGAAAGGATTTGAATATATGGAAATTGATTATAGAAGGTGATTCAAAGTTAGTGATAGGCTGGTTGCAAAAGGAGGTGAGTTGGTGGACTATGTTAATGAGAAGAGGAGATTTAAATGGATGACACTTGCAAGGAAATTAGACTTCAATGGGTAAAAAGAGATGCAAACTCCTTTGCTGATGAATTGGCTAAACAAGGGGTGGGAAGAGATCATTTTTTTGGGCTATGTTGTAATTTGAATTTCTTGGGGAGAGCTAAGAGAGTTTATCTCTCCCTTTTCTGATAGTAATGTATATTCTTTCTTTTAATCACTAATGAACTAATTCTGTTAATGATAAAAAAATGTACAACCCTTGAAGGTTTCTTTCATCAGCTCTTTGTGGGCTCTTTGCCTCCATTTCTTCTAGTTAGAAGAATTTGTCTCCCTTTTGTTCCTCTAAAGGTTTCCTTTTTTGTTTAGGAGGCCTCTTGAGGACACATTAATATAGGTGATCCAGCTTTGTGTCTCCTCACATTTGCATTATGAACATGAAGGATGGAAAATCCATCGATCATCTCCTCATAAACTGTATGGTTGCTAGATCCTTGTTGCAATTCTTCCTGGGATAGTTTCGTTTATTGACAAGGATGGGAGATGGAGAGTACTGAGAGACAATGAGATGGAGAAGAGCGCTAAAGCTCAAAGCAAAAAAAGTTTGTGTTTGAGGAAGGGACGAATGGAGGTGCTGCTGCTCTGAAATTTAGGGAAGATAAGAGAGTGACAATATTTCTAGTGGGTGAAGCTGTTGGCTGAAAGGGTTTGTGGAAGGAGAAGTATATTCAGTCAAAAAATAGGGATGGAAGACCTCTTTGGGCATAATGGGAAAAGGGTATGAAGTAGAAATGAGGAAAAATATGAAAGGGTGGTTCATTGTTGTAACAGAAAATTTTGGTGAAAACAGGAAGCAGTTGGCTTGAATCCCAGAAGGAAGGGAGAGAGAAGGTTGGACGGCGTTTTCTGATAAAATTCAAGAATTCCAACTGTGGATGGAAGAAGAACAGAGGGGCGGCTGGAATTGATGGCCTTGTTATCAATATGGAAGGTAGTGTGATTTGGGCTTACAGCAGGTCTGTTGGTATAGCAGATGCTTCCAAAGCAGAAGTTAAAGCCCTGCTGGTTGTTTTGAGGGTTGCTAAGTCGTTATTGAATACTCTTGCTGTAGAAGGTGATTCTAGGAACGCTATTAGATTAGCTTCCAGCTTGGATCTTGGGCTTGGCCTTTGGAGGCTGGCTCACCTTATTTATGAGGTCCGTGACATGTCAGCTCCTTTGAACTGCTCTTTCAGACAGATTACAAGGGTTTTGAGCTTGATGGCAGATTCCTAAGCTAAACAAGTGGTGGATAGGGATTTTTTTGTATAGTGTTGATTCATTTCCAATGTAAAGATTTTTTTTTGATAAATAAAAGTTCATTAAGAATTCATTATCAACGAAAGATAGACTGTTACAAGCATCAGAACAGGAGATGCGAGGTGCAGCCTCACCCTTTAAAAGAAAAGAAGCAGCACAAAGCTTACAATTGGTCCCAATACAACTGATCCCTAGTTACTCCTTGTTTGGCTAAACAATTAGCAAATGAATTAGCCTCCCTTCCCACCCATTGTATGATTAAATTCATATGTTGTGTTGCCCATTTGAACTTCTTCAATTCATTTCTATAGCACCATACCACTGATTCTGTATCTCTAAGCCAACCCATCACCACCTAGGAGTCCCCTTCTATCACCAAACACTCCACACCTATCTCTCTTGCACTCTGTACACCTTGTAGGACTGCATACAGTTCAGCCCTTAGGTTCAGTTTGAAAGGAGTACAAATACAAATATGTTGAGTGTAAAACCTTGTATTTTGTATTATCCTGTATGCATATGTACTGTACATATTTGTATTTGTACTCTTTCCAAACTGAACCTTAACGAGTCTCCATTCCCCATCGGTTCTGAGTAGAGTGCTCTCAGATTCCCATCCTTGTCTACTTCTCTCCCCTTGGAAGATTCTGGCATTTCTTCTTCCCATGAAGTCCAAACCACTGCTATTCTAGAATATCTCCACATTGTTCTTCCCCCTTTTCTTCGGCTAAGTATATGTAGATGGATTGAACATCAATTTAATCTCCAATGGCATATTCCACCTGTACCCAAACAAAGAGAAAATCCACTCCCAAATTTCTGCAGCAAACGAACAAGAAATATATAAATGATAACAAGATTCACCATCAAATTTACATAGAGTGCACTAATTTGGGGAAATACTCAATAAAGGCCACTTCTTTTATAAATAGTCCAAAGTGTTAATTTTCCTATATACCACTTCCCAACAGAAAGCCTTGATTTTAGGAGGGATCAGCTAATACCGAACTTCCTTTCAAGGAAAAAACAAAGAGGAAGAGGACTAGCAAAGAGCTTTAAAGAAAGAGGCACAAGAGAAGAAACCTTTGGGATTTGGACACCAAATTCTCCTATCTGGTTTAGAGGGTTCTAGGCAAACTTTATCCATAAGAAAGAGAAGCGTTGTCAAAAAGGTGGCTTCTTCATCCCTCAGCCCCCTTCGAAACCCAAAATCCCAATCAAGATTCAAAGGTGAAGTAGAAAGGACTAGAAAGCTCAAAATCGCCTTATTTTTGTATAAGGAAATGGAGTACAAAGAAAGAAACAAGTCCTTTAGGGGTCGGTGACCAAACCAAATGTCTTCCCAAAAGCGGATTAGGTTTCCTGAACAAGCATCATACCTGATAAAACTGAGGAATTGAAGAACACATTGTGGATTGCTTTCCAAGGTGTTGCCAAAGTAGCCTGACGTGATACACCAGCATCCTAGCCACTCTCCAATCTCGCAAATACTATCCACTACTTCAGCCCACAAGTTTTCCTGCTCAAGCGACCACCTCCATAACCATTTTCCTAAAAGAGCCATGTTTTTCTCTCACATTCCCAAGACCTGCTCCACCCTCTTCCTTACTTTTACACACAATTCCCCCAATAGATTAAATTGTCCTTTCTTGTCTCTCCTGGCTCCCAAAAGAAATCCCTCATAATTTTTTCTAACTTCTCTTCTTCCCTTGGAGGGATTCTAAAAATAGAGAGGGAATAGATAGGTAAGTTAGCCAAAGTAGATCTTATCAAGGTAATCCTCCCTCCCAAAGAGGTGTAACTCCTCTTCCAAGCAGCCAGTCTCTTTTCATATCTTTCTACAACTGGGTTCCAGAATTTGCTTTCCTTAGGGTTGGCTCCTAGGGGAAGTCCCAAGTAGGTCAAAGGAATATGCCATCCTCTACCAAACTTAGGACACTCTCCTCCATATTAGTCGCTGCTACACGACTTTTGTCCAAATTTGTCATAGAAGTTTTTTCTCTCTTTTGATTGTACATCCTTTCATCTACATATTAACTCAAAAGCAGCTGTTGCACTACTATGAAATAAGCAAAACATGAAATACTTTTTTAATCGATTCAACATCTGAAATCCATTAAAGGACTACATTTTCAATTCCCTATGGTGCAGTTTCCAACTTCAAAACTGGAAAAGTAAAAAATATATTTCAGGGGGTAAAATAGTATACCTGTTCAGATGTAGCATAAGATCCATAATGGACCTCTTTACGTGACAGTGCCTTCAAAGCCGCAAAGAAGGACTGGACCTGAAAATTAAAGAACCCAGAAAAAATATGAAACAAATTGAACAAAAAAAAAAAGAAAATATATAAAGAGAAAGTCTGCTCACTATAAAGTCAATTATGTTCTTCAAAATCAGTTGCAGGACAAGCATTAAATAGCCACAGCACAGATATAAATAATAGTTGGCAGAAAATACTACCTTCTCAACAACAGAAGTAAGCTTGAAAGTTAGGTACAATCCCGTAGTTAGTGATGAAAAAAGGCTTCCATATTCCTTGTTCAAGAAGAACCGGTACCAGACAGGTGTTGGTAACAAGGCACGGTAAAGCAGCAGCAGATATTCAACTAAAGTTAACATTTGACCCTGAAATCCAAAATTCCAAATAGATCCTAAGGCTGGTCTTCTACACCATGAATGTCCCCAACATACAAAAGGGGGTTAATTGCATATCATATACTGATAAAAAAATATTACCTGCTTCCGATAATTTCTGCCTCTACTATTCTTGTGATACATTAGCAGTATGCACTTTATGACCATTGCTGCCTGCCGCACCATTGTATCTGAAGAGCAAACCAACTCTTAAGAAAATACTCTTGAAACTACAAATGTACTCATTTTTCTTTTTTTATGAGAAATAGCAAGGATTTCATTAATAACCATAAAGATAAGGCTGATGAGGGAGAGGTTTCCTCAACAGCCATAAACAAGAAAAAGTAACTAAAAATGCACTCATAAAAAAATAAAACAATAAAAAACTAAAACTAAAATAAAAGCACTAACTTTGATCAATCCCTCATCAAGAGGGAACAATTTTGATGGCTTTTCCCTACATGTTCTTGAAGAAACATTCAATGTGCATTACTAATACAGGAACTCTTATAACATATAAACTAATACAAGATAGATTTATGCTATACCAAGCACCAGCAAACATCTATAGTGAGGCAAACCAGATAATTGCTAGGGTATTTCTGTTATTTTCAGATTCTTGAAGAAAAATTACTGCAACTTGCTCTTCTGATTTTTTTTTCTCTTTTCACTACTCTCTCTTGATTAAATCATGGCAACTCTATTCTATTTTTGGTTTTTGGAGATTCTTACAGGTATTTTAAAGAAGATTGGATTGTTCTTGAACTAGAAAAATTAAAAAAAAAAAAAAAGTACTGAAATCCTCCCCTTAAATCAAGATCCTAATCTCGTATTTTTTTTTCTCCAGCAAAACTTAAATCCATATCTAAAGGAAAAATGTGCATATCCTCGATCATAACAACAACCCTTGCTTGTTTGATGGAAATCCATGATGTGTCCTTAACATAGAGCAATGAATTGCCCACAAACATCACCGATTACCTTGGAGGTCTAAATACACCAAGTGTATAGGGGATCCAACAACATTAATCCAAATCAACAAAGAATAATTATCATTAATGATACTCCGAGCCAACAACCACCACCTAATCAGCATGGAACTCCAATAACCTATGGAGCATCTATTCCTTTTCAAGAACTTCTATAGGATAACAAAGCTGTCATTGGCATTCTTGTACTTCCCAGTATGAAACAAACTCTTGAGTAGCTGAGTATAAAAGTCTTCCCACCAAATATAGAGTGATCAATGTCTTCCACGCAGATAGATTGAACCTCACCCACTTCAGGCTTTTCAAACATGTTGCATCAACTTCTCAGCTCCAAGGATTGTTGAGGCTCACATGGCTGTTTTCACCCTTGTCATCCTGGTATTGTGATAGTTTCAATCCTTGCATTCTTTTTTCTTTGAATAACAGGAACTGATTTATTATAATAATAAAGAAAGTGTACAAAGGGGATAAGGGGAGAGAGAATCTGTCTTAACTCTCCCAAATACAAACAGCAAAATTACAATACATTCCCTTAGTTGTTTCAGATTGTGGAAAATCAGAATGGATCGGTGGCTAGTCAATTTGAAGTGAGTGGGGGCACTATTATTTGGAGCCCTTCTTTTAGAAGGTCATTTCAGGACTGGGAAATTGGGAAAGTTGAATATCTCTTGGGGCTGCTTCACAGGCAGTCCATTGACTTGTTGTCTGAGGACTCTTGGATCTGGAAGTTTAGTGTGGATGGTAATTTCTCGGTTAGCTCTTTTGCGGAGGTTCTAAATGAAGCTGTGCATCCTAAATTTCCAGTGGTGAAAATTTGGAACCCTTCGGTGCCTTCTAAAGTGAATGCTTTGGTTTGGACTGCATCTCTCAACAGATACCTTACGAAAGACTCCCTGGTTAGAAGGGGTGTTCAGATTCAGGACCATCTGTGTGTTCTTTGTGGAGATATGGAGGAGGATGGCAGGCACCTATTCATTCACTGTTCGGTTACAGCTGCAATATGGAATCACTTTTTATCGGGGGTAGGGCTGCAATGGTGTATGCCTGGTTCAGTTCTGGACATGATATGGAGTTGGGAGCTGAAGGGTGGTTCAAAATTGGCGAAGTGCATTTGGAGTGTCATGCCTGCAGCCATCTTATGCACAGTCTGGACGGAAAGAAACAGAAGGATCTTTCAAAATAAGGCCGCTAGCATAGATTGCTTGATTGCCTTTGCATTTGGAAAGATAGTTTCCTGGGTGGCGGCGGCAAAGGACATTCAGGTTTCTGCCCTTTGTTCTCAGCTGAGATCTAGGATTTTTCCTGAGTTATGATGTATTGTAGGTTTAAAGTGAGTTGTGTTGACTCTTTGCCTTAAGGGCCTGGGTTGTAATCTGCCACTTTAGGCTATTTGAATTAAATTTTACCTTATCTTTTTCAAAAAAAAAAAAACATCCCCCAAAATAAATAGTGATCCCTTCCCACCCCCCACTTGCTAAAGTATCAGTGAATGAATTAGCATTCATTTTCACCCATTTCAAATTGATTTCCATTCCCCAAGACAACCAAGTACTCCTTTTCTCGTTAATATAGCACCACCATCCAGCCTCCTCTTCCTTCTTCAACCACTCAATAACTTAACTTTGTGTCCCCCTCAATTACTAGCTTCTGAATGTTCAGTTCTCCAGCCCGTTGAAGACCTTCCATCACAGCCATTATTTCAGCCCTCAAAGAATCTCCAACAATGATTCTTCCTCATTTCTAAAGATGCCCCCTATACCTAAGGGACCCAGATTTCCTTCACTACTTCCATCAAAATTTGGCTTAATAAAGCCACATGGAGGAGGGGACCAGGTTGGTCTCACCGCAACCTTACTAGGAGTTCAGTCAGCAACAACTTTCCAATTCCTTTTTTTTTATCAATAACACTTTCATTAATTCATCAGTAGAAAATTTACAAGTGGAAGACAAACAACTTATCTTCCAAGAATCACAAAGAACTTCAAGAAAGGAAAGAAGAAAATACAAAGATACAAGGACACTAACATTACAACTTAGCCCAAAACAAAGAATCCCTTTCTGCCCCTTGTTTTGCTAAACCGTCAGCTAGGGAATTAGCTGATCTCTTAATCCAACATGTCTTAATTTCCATCTCCCGCACCAGCCATTTGAATTTCCTCTTCTCATTGTTATGCTTCCAAAGATCATTTTGTTCTTTGGTCAGCCACCCTATCACCACCTCTGAATCCCCTTCAATTATCAATGTTATACTTTCCAATTCCTCACCAAATGGCGAACTAAAAGGCACGATGGATTTCTTGTCCATTTCTATGCTTTATTTGGGCCTAGTTCTCTTCTATCTTTAGTTGCAGGTGGACACCTCCATGCCAAGCCTTTTTGACCCAAGCTTTTTCAGGAAATCAAAGAGACGTAGAAGATTAATGTGGAGAGCCACAAGAGAAGTTATCTCATGGTCAGTTTGGGAAGAAAGGAACAATAGGATCTTTAAAGGAGTGGAGAAATCCAAGGAGGAAATTGTAGAAAGGATAATCATTATGACTATTCAATGGTTGAAAACTTTGGATTTGTTTAAAGACTTCTCAGCTGAAAACATTTATAGAAATTGGGAAGTGGTGGCACCTACAACTTCCATAAAACCCTGTGCAGGAATTGTGGTCCCCATCAACACAACAAAGAGTGAAACTGAACTTCGACGGGAGTTCTAGAGGTAACCTGGGCCCTTCAAGTATAGGAGGAGTAATCAGAGATGAAAATGGCAGAATTGTGGCTATGTTTTCAAGACCAAGGAGTGGGGGACTCATTAAGAGCGGAGGTGATGGCCTTGCTTCAAGGTGTAAGATATGCCAAATAGATGGGGATACACCAAATTGATATAGAGGGAGACTCTAAATTGTTGATTGAATGGCTGCAATTTGGTAAGTTGGGAGTCTGAATTTATACAGCCCACAAGGGAAATCCTCAACACAACAAGGGAGATCGGTGTGTGCTTCAAATGGACAAGGAGATCAGCTAATGGTTTAGCTGACACATTGGCTAAACAAGGGACTGTGAGAGAGAGAATGTTCTATCCAGTTTTGTAAGAAAGATTACTAGGGGCTCAACACCTATTTAGGGGTTGACAGTTGTACTTGACTCGGGAAAGTTATTCTTAACTTGTATTAATGAAATTACCATTTCCAATCAAAAAAATGAAAGAAGAAATAGGCTCATTCTAACGATTGGAAATGGCATAAGGAGAGGGAAATTGCTCTTTTAAAGGAGAATTATCCAACCACACATGACCCCAGTATTTGACACCATTTCCAGAACAGGGATTATACTTGACAAATGGCAAAAGGATGGTGAAATTGCACAAATGGACTTCCAGCGAGAAGCTTTGGAGGCCCTAGCCAAAATCTAGAAAACCCAACATCAGCCACAAGCCCATGAATACTGAAGATAACCTTTGTCCACAACTTGTATTTATCTTTAGGTAATCTCCACAGCAACATATTAGCCTTGTTTTCAGGCCCCGTGGGAATAGGAGACTCTAATAGAGCTGAGATTTTAGCAGCAGTACAAGGTATTCAGACTGCAGAACAATTAGGAGTTCAGCACTTGGTAGTTGAAGGAGACTCTCAAATTGTTGTGGGATGGTTGAAAGACCCAGCTTCAACCATGTGGCAACACAGAGATTTTTAAGAAAAGTCAATTGGCTTACAAGAAATATGACTGTTAACTCTCTTTGGGTAGGAAGATCAGCAAACACCGTGGCGGATGGGTTAGCTAAGCAGGGGGGCTACAAGGAAGCAGTTATTTTGGGCTGCTTTGTAATTTTATTTATGGTTAATTCTATTTTACTTTGATGCAATACTTTTCTGAAGAGGTAACAGCTCGTGCCTCTTCAGTGTTTCCTGCACTGTTTTTTCTGAATTAATAAATTTCTTCATTCATCAAAAAAAAAAACAAAAAATCTCCACAGCCATTTCCCTAACAAAGTAACATTCCTCTCTTGGATGGTTTCAATCCTTGCATTCCATAAACCTGGGTGGTTACAATGAGGGCTAGATACCCATATACCTGGATACTAATGATCTAGCCTCTTTAATATGAAGAAGAAGAATCTGATCTATGAACCCAATAAAAGCTTGACTAACTTGATGCAGGAAAAAATATTACAACATAGATCCAAACCAACAAAAACCAGATTAGTTTTTCTTGAA